TGGTGGCTGGTGGCCGGTGGCCTCGGCTGCTCATAATTTATATGCATGCGGGATAAGTTGTATATTTATTGGCATGAAGATAAGTTATGTGGCCGGCCGAACATACGAGTCTCATTTATTTTTGGGCTGCCTTTTTGGGGCAGGCAAAAAATAATAATAAATTATTTGCACATTTACAAATCAAAATTTATGTGCTCTAATTATTTATTATTGCTCCCCCTTCTCTTTGTCTCTTAAATGTTGGATTTTTTGATGGAAGATTATTGCTTAAATTTCGTAATCCCTTATTTAAATTGTACTGCATTTTCCCCTCTTTGAAGTTTCTAAAGTGTTTTTTTATTTGTTTTTACAGATTTTAAGGATCCTCTGGTAAGTAGAAGAACATTCTCTGAAGGAACCCCCATATGACGAATGTAGATCAAGTATTTTTGAATAAAAATTGCAAACATAACTGGCTTCTCACACATTTAGATTTCCAAATTATTTATTTATATACATATTTATAAAAGAGCTGCTCAGGGTTTTTGTGGAACAATGTTTTCTTATTGCCATATTTTTATATTCTCAATAAATCATTATCTCCAAAAACTATTCATCTTTTTGATAAATACTTTTTATAATTTTTTTTTTGTTCTACCTTTCTTTTTTGATTTTTACTAAAGAAATATTTTCTCTTTTCCTCATGGAGGTATTTCCATTTAAGCAGCATTTTTAATGGCCATAAATTGGAATGATTCAGAATTGCTTTTATTGATAATTTTGGCAGGAAATTACATTAAAATTATTGTGTGATTAAAAAGATCTAGATCTGGGGGTTTGCTCTATTTCCATGGATCCTTCGAGGACTATTTTCTGTTGCTTTTTCCACTTTAAGAATTCCTTCCATTTCCTTAAACTTTTTTATTGGAGATGTAAATTTTTTTTTTTAATTTTTGGTTTGCTGTGAAGCTGCTCTGCGAGAGAGAGAGAGAGCGCGCGTGGCAGGAAAGGCAACCACGGGACTTTGGATTCTTTAGTCTGGTACTGAATGAGCAGCGGATTAAAGGATTCCACACAAAAATTTTTTTTTAAACATTATATTTAAAACCCGATTAGAAGAATTTTAAAATGATTCCCGGTAATCATTTTGTAAATAAAATTGTAGTACTTATAGTAAATATGTAAATCAACACGTAATTAGTCATCGGTATGTGGGAATATTCTAAAGTCATCAAAAGAGCACGCTTCGGTGGGATAGGACCCGATCGGATCGGGACGGGACGGGACGGGACGGTATGGGGCCAGACAGACGATGAAACGCATTAAACAGAATTGCATTGCACAAAAGTCGAATCTAAATGTTGATCTAAAATCGAAATTAAATTGAGATGGCAGATGGGAGATAGCAGGGCGTGGGGGTGGTTGGGGAGTAGACGGGTTCCTGGGTCACGTTCTGCTCGGCGCTAATCGCTCAATTTGCCTCACTGCTAGCACGCGGAAATGTGTGGGAGGGCATGAGACCGAGACCGAAACAGAGACAGCGGCAGCGACAGCGGCAGAGACAGCCCCAGTGATTCGTACAGTGGGGCCATGCTAATTAAATTTCACTAGTCGCTATTCCGGGGCACGGCGCCGCCCTCAGTCTTAATTTGTTTGCATGCTCGGTCGAGCGGAAAAACAACAACAAATTGACATAATGATCATGTTTGAGGATCGTCAGGGGACCGGGGTACTGAATGAATAGGTCGGTGTCTGCTGACAGACATACGTTTAGAGATCTCGCTCTCTCTCTCCCTCTCTCTCTCCTTCTCTGCTTTTGTTCAATTGGTATTTTGACTTTGAACTTGTGTTGTTTGCTTGTAATTTACAATTTCTGCACAGGAGGGTCTGCCTGTCAGAGAGAGGGCTGACCCCATTGTGCACGATCGCTACAGAATTGTGTGCACCATTTCCTACCCACTCAACGTGACGTTTAACGTTTTAAATTTAGCCACAACAAAAAAAAAAAAAAAAACACGGCGAGTGAAAGAAACCAAAACCAAAACCCAAGTATAACTGTGCTCCGGGGCTTAATATGGACCGACATTTCAATTGCGATTGCTATTTTTAGACATTGTCATCTCTCGCGCGTCGCGGGCTTAACGATTATTTTGCATATTGACGAGGCAGGCTGAACGGAGAGAGAGAGGGGTACGTACGTGCCCCGGGCCTGTGTGATTTGTGGCAAGGTTAACCTGTATTGTATAAGAAATATTTTATAATTGAGATGTGAGCATCGGTATTCTCGTGTCCAAAGTAGAACTGGAGATATCACATACTCGTACAAATATGGAACAATGGTGAATATTGTTGATCGAACGAATGATTTATACGGATTATATTCGATGCAGCGTGTCTGAAATAATTGTCATTTAATTGTGTTTGGTTTTAAATTCAGACATTAAAAGCCTGTCTTTAGTGCTAAGCCACTCTGGGAGAGAATGTAATCGGCACTATACTTTTTAAGCACCTCAAAAATGTATCAAAATCGGAGCATGTGCCATATAAAGGAATACATATCTTATAGATCTTATTTTTTCACCATTTTAATAAATTCAAAATTTAAAATAATATTTATTTCCAAATTTGAAGACAAAAAAATATATAAATTAACAAAAAGTAATTTAAACTGATTCAAATTAATTCTTTTTTAAAATACTTCATTTTATTTTTCTCTTTATTTTTTCGAGCTTTAAAAATATAACAAATAACTAAAGATAATTTAAACTGATTCACGGTCAAATCTTCACAAACATTTCATTAAATTTCTGAGATAAATAGTTGAAATAATTAATTTTTAATTCAACTAAAACTATAAAATCTCTCCATTTTATTTTCGTATTTACCCCGAATAAAAAATTTAACACATAACTAAAAATCATTTAAACTGATCTACAAATATTTCATTCCACTGAAAACTTGACTTATTATTATTTTTGTCACATATGAAATGTGTGTTGCACAAACATTTACTTCCTGCACTTGGACGGCGCATTCTGTGGCTCATTGAACTGCAATACCCTCGAACTCTGTATAACATTTTGCTCTCAAGAATATTGATTTATTTTTATTTTTTGCGAGTGCAAAAGACCCAGGCGTCCTTGCCTTGACAGATGGAGGCAGACAGAGCGGAAGATCACATGAAATCTTGACCAGCAAATTGAACTGAACGTGTGAGCTATGATTTTGGCATATGAGATATGGCACATGGCAAATTTGTGGCATTTTTTTGAAAACTCAAAACGTACTTTTGTTTATACAAAATGTATAAAGTTTCATGAACCCCAATGGTGCACAAGGGTATGATGTATGTATTACCGACAAGGCTGTAGATAATGGCTGTCCATTTGTGCTTGTGGGGATCCAAGAGAATCCAAGGCCGCTTTGGCTACAAATCTACCGGATTCTACAACGACTGGATTGGTTTTCGGTAGTTGTCCCACCAAAAAGATACAATAAGTATCTTGCTGTACAACCACTCGATTGTGTGGTTCTTAGTTCTAGTTTTTACTCTCTCATTCATAAGTTTTGTCCCTCATTTTGATGTCACCGACACCGACACCGACACCGACGTCACGCCAGCGAATATTTGGCGAAAGCTTCCACGACACCAATAGATCGGAGGTGCCAGGAACGCACTCAACCTTTGGCCCGCCCACGCACGTGTCATATAACATTGGGCGCTAATTAAATCGGGGCTTTCGGTCTTTTGTGTGTCAAAATTTTTGAGGGCGTTCGATCACTTGACTCGTGTTGCCGGTGCGCATAAAAAGTAACCTCCTACGTTTACAGACACAGACACAGATATACGCGTGTGTACATAGATACAGATACAATTTGCACAGCCTGACAAATTTCACACATTTTGCTTATTCGCTTTTGTTAGCTCGGATACAATAAATCCCCCTCGAAAATGCGCATACAAAAAAATCGAAAAAGAAAGCAACTTGAACTATAAACAAGAATTTAAAAATAAATTTCCTCTAATTGTTAAAATAATACAAACATGAGTTAAATGCGCATGCCTTTCCAGAGGAATGCCTTTCCAGAGGAATGCCTTTCCAGAGTAAACATGGGTTAAATGTGGATTAGGTAGGGTTAAAGCTTCCCAGGGAGGGAGAGGAATATAACGTGAAGCTAAAAAGGAGTAGAGATAAAAGAACTAGTTCCATTTGTACAAAGCTGCGATTTGGGGTAAAATAAATTCCGATTTAACTCTAGAAACGCAAGAACGATAATGTTCGTTTTCGAACCAGTTCAACATTTTTAGAACTCAATCTCTTGGAAGGTTTTGCGAAAAATTATGGAGTCTGCTAGCTACATCGGTTTGCTTCTGGATATACCAGAACTGTTTTCATTTGGAACAATTTCCAAACTCAATATTTCGGTACCAGTTCTAAAAAATCAGGTATTTGATTGATAGATTTGGTATGAACTAGTTCCGAAATACAATTTTTGATGATGAAAAATTCTATAAACAATAAATAAAATCTGTATGACTTTTGGCCAGTTTCTCGACTTCGAGCTAACATTTCTCGTACCGAAAAAGTGTTGGAAAACGAAAATTTGAGTTTCTCAAGGGTTCATGCGAAAGTCATGCCGGTTCGGAATTTTTCGGATCGACAAAAAGGTGAAGAAGAATTTTAGAAATCCCAACAAAGAAGAAGAAAAGGCACTTCACATTAAGCAAAGCATAAAAAGCGCTGATGTTTTAACCAAAGCAAACCTGTGTTTTGCACAGAACAGCATATTTGTGCGCTTAACAGCACCCTGTTGTTCTTTTTCGTTCCCACAAATTACAGGCCTGGAGAAAGCCGAACTGATTTTCCCACAAGTTTATCGGGTCGTCAATTTTTTCGGACTTAAAACTAACGGGCACCTTAATTCGGAGTCGAGTAACCTATGGAATCGTTGAAAAATCAGCTAAAAATCATGCATCAAGGAAGCAAAGGCGTTAAATGTCCAATGAAGTGTTGGAAATAGTCTTATTCGAAACATCAGACAGAGAGGATTGCATGAGAAAACAAAATATATTTTACAAGATTTACAAAAATTTTTTTTTCCAAATTCACTGATAAAAGAGAACGACATGCTGAACGTTTACCACACCAGAAACTCAAATCCTTCGCAGAACCTGTCGCGTAAGGAGATCATAAAATGGATTAACAGTACCCTGAACATCGATATCAAAAAGCTGGAGGCTCTGGGATCCGGCGCCGAATACTGTCAGCTGTTTAACCAACTCCATCCGGGCACCATAAACCTGAAGAAGGTGAAACACGGTTCACATCTCCAGGCGGACTACCAGGCCAACTTCCTTTTGCTACAGCGGGCCCTGCAGAAGGTGGGCGTGGACAAGGACATCCAGATCGGCAGGATGATTGTGGGTGGCCGTCGCGAGAACTTGGACTTCGCTCAGTGGTTCAAAAAGCTTTACAACCGAAACATTGACAAGCAGGACACAGTCTTCCAGGATGTCTCGGAGCCCAGCAAGCCGTCGTCCAGCAAGCGGTCGTCCAGCAAGCTGTCGTCCAGCAAGCGTTCGTCCAGCAAGCTGTCGTCCAGCAAGCGGTCGTCCAGCAGTACTGTAGTTCCATCTCGGACCTTCAGCCAGCGATCGGTGTCAGTCCTTTCCCGAAAACATCAACCAGACTTCGTTGGTGTATTGATGCGTTCGATGTCTGGATAAATATATCGTAAAGGAAGCTTATTTTTAGCGATATTTGAGATTTTAAATCTCCTTAGAATAAAATTTCATTAAATTATTTTTTCAAAATGTTCTGAACTGGAACTGGAACTTAAATATGCAAATAGGTATTCCCCAGCCCCAAAGGAATTTCCATTTCAATTTGAAATCAAAGTCAATCACTCATTCATATTACTTAATGGGGGGACAGCCGAGCTTTAGCTATAAAGCAGCCGCCGCAACAGACACGGATACAGTTACAGATAGAGCTATAGATACAGATACAAACACAGATATAGACTGGGAATTACTACCACTAACTAACTAACGTCAACGCCAACGCGGCCCGGCGATGGAGGCGGCAAAATTTCGCACATTTTGCACAGGTTCCGTCCCCGTCGATCGCCACCGTCGCCACCGTCTGTCTCGACGCGTCGCTATGGATCGTTATGGCTGTTATTGTTGCTGTTTTCGTCGTGTTCCGCCATTTGTAGAGCTCATTTAATTTTTATTGTTGTTTATTGCTTAACGAAAAAAAAAAAAAAACCTTTTCATTTTAAATGTTTGATTACAACGATTTGTGAAGTTCAGTCGAAATTGTGATTTGCGCGCTGGAGGAGCGACCGCCGCCGTCCGTCGTCAGCCGTCAGCAGTCCGATCGCGAGCAATGCGATTCTGAATTGCATTCGGATCGAATCTCCACAATCAATCGCAATCGCCAGTTGATAGCCGCTCTGGCCAGGACGACGCCTCTCCTCAAGTGTCCTCCTCGCGTGTCAAGTGTGAAGAAACTTCAGAAATCTCAAATCGAAAATCGTGAAAAATACATCAATTTTGAAACTCCAAAATGCAGCTACTCAATTTTATGTGCCTCAAGCAAAGTGGGTTTGCAATTTTATTTGATTTAAGCTTCCATTTTGTGTGTGTGTTGTTTGGTGGAAAAAAATAGAATGCAAATTTCCATTGTGTGACTAAATTAATTTTTTATAATTTCGTGCCCCGCATTTGTCATTTTGTAAGCCACAAATATGTACATTTATCTATATTTATCTATACCTGGTTATAGATAGATTGTAGGTTTAGAAATGAGTGGCAAGTGTGGAGTGTGCAGTGTGGGGTGTGGAACCCTAAGAGGTGTGCCACCTTTTAGGGGAATTGCTGGAAAAACTCATCCTCTGACAGTGATTTATAAATACCTCAACTAAGGATAATTAAATTTGAGAATTATTGTTGTTATCCGATGATAAAAATGTCAATAAAAAGTGGATTGATATTCCACATTCCGTTAAATATTTCAAATAAATGGCATCAATAAATCATCTAGGAAAACCATGAGGAAAAATAGAATTCAAAACTGTTTTATTTCAGTTTTGATTAAAAAATATTTCCTACTAAATTTAATATTAGCTATATGAATATTTGAGCTATATGAATTTCGAACACATCGCAAATGAATTTCGAAAAATATTGTGGCTGATCAATTTCTAAATTCCATTAGTAATTTTAGTCACTTATTGGAAAGATCAAGTTAGATATTTATTCCCTATTTTAATATTCTTGATATTATTTTCTTGAAAGGCACACATTTAATTACTCATTATCCTTTGCTTGGACTTTCCCATTTTCCATAGTTCCCATATATCTAAAGAGTCTTAAGATTTAAGAGATTAAAAAGTGTTTACTTGTTGTTGCTTTCATTTAATTACATATTTCATGAAATCTTTGATTTGATTGATCGTGGAAAATATACAGAATGTAATGCCAAGATCGAGACATTAAAAGATCTTAATTCGCTTTCAAAATGCATTAATCAATGCCAGTGCTGAAAGCTGTAAATGCAAAGCCAGATAATCAATTATTTTTCCACACGAAACCTGCTGAAAATTTGCAAAAACCAGAGATAAAATCCAAACAAACAGTCGCTGAGGCACTTGGCACGACCCAGCACTCATATGTAATATTAAAACATATGTACATATGTGATGAGTATATATCATTCTTAGCGGACGATTACATTGCAAATTGTGATGATAATACGATATTGTATGGTATGATATGCCATGCAAAAGCTCGTTAAAGTGTCAATATTAACACCATTATATGCCTTCACATGAATTACAATAACCACAAATTAAACAAACATATAGCTTATACAATTTATTTCGTTTCATCCATTATAATGAAGCTGTCGAATATTTGTAAATGCAAATCCAAAATCTCATTTGTTGTATAATTTTCCACTGATTTAAGGGCAATAAATTTGTTTAAGTGTCTGGTAGATTCGATTTTCTACGTTAAATGGCTAATAATATTTGCTTTAAGTAGGTATAAAATAGATTTATAGTCGAGAGCTTCACATGGTGAAGTGTTTCCGTTAATGGGGGTTTGTGGTCAACCCCTCAACCCCCCCGGAGACAAGTGGATCACGTAGTTTTGAGTCACCTTCTGATTTGGGAAGACTAATCAAGTTTAATAGGTACATATTACTTCCGTTACTAAAAAGCCATCAATGTGTGATTCAATACTTCCAGAACTCTGATTTTTCGTAGCAAATTGTTACATGCATTATTCTCAGTGTATGAGCTTCTCTTCCGTGCTTTGATCTTGGTGCAGAGAGCGTGTTGGTGAGAGAGCGCGAAGGGAGAGAGATGATCGAAGGAGCGAGGCAAAACGAGTAAGCTCGGTGTTGCCGAGAGCGACAAAGAGAGAGAGAGAGGGTTATGTCTTCAGGTAAACAGTCGTGGGAACGAAAAAATCTTGACAAAGGCTCAAAGAAGAGTATTCATTTTCATTCATTTCTACCTTTCCCGATTCCGATTCATTCCGTTTCATACTCACGCATACCTACGCATATGACGCTGATGACGATCACCTTTGCCGGCCGCCAACCCCAGTCGTCGGCTCATCCTCCTCCTCCGATCATACACCACCCCTGTGATACTCCGCCATGGCCGAACTGCATTGGAAATGATATGCAAACATCTATGGGAAGGAGACGATCTATAAATAGAGCCGCCACGCAAAAAATGGGAAATGTGTGTATGGGTGTGTGTCTGCCTTTGCGTGTTGTGTGCGATTTTTATTTTTATATGTCTTCGGGTCCAACGATGGCGCATTTTCATGCACAGCAGAAAAGAATTTCACGCCATGGCCAATGCAGACTACTGATCCTATAATTTCTCTACAACCACAATGTCTGAAGATATGTATATGTATGTGTGCAGAGTAAAGCCCCACGAAATTATACAGATATGTAGATATTTCCATATGGCTGGTGTGTCTCTGACTTTCCCCCTTTTTTGAGGTCTATTCTACTCTCTACGGGTTTGTGAATGCAATTTACAAATTTTCCATGATGGCTTTACGTACGTATTTTTCGGGCTTCCCTCCACTTGTCCCCACCACAACACAACACTCCCCACCGCCCCACCACCGAATGGAACAATTAGTATATTATCCAACCCACAGAGAGATAACCAAGTGGAAGGGACTGGGAGTCCATTTGGGGTCTGGGTGCGGTATAGAAAATACGTCAGCTGTATCTATGCTCTACTTTTTTTTTGACTCTTTATTGTTGCTAATTGTTCCCGTTTGTTGTTGTTGGAAACGTTTTTCACTTATCGTGCGCGTCAGAGCAAATAAAATCTGAGTACACAAAAAAAAAGTGGAAAGAATAACCAAAGGAAAGGAGAGAAAATACTCGTTGGTAAAATGGTCAGTGGAAAGAAGAAACGATTTTTTATTCCAGAAAAATTCCTCATTTTTTGCATAATATTTCTTCTAATTAATTTTAATGAATGGAAACTTATTTTAATTAAAATTACACTAACATATATTTAAAAATTAGTTATTGTTTTTACTAATGAAAAACAGTTCTTACATAATTCATTTCAAAGAAATGGTTTCCCATAATTAAAAATGTCCAACATTTATCATGATTATGCCCACTGTGCGGACTATCACCGCTCTGCTCTCACTTGCTTGGTTTTCTCTCTCTCGGTTTCTCTCTCACTCTTCTTCGTTTCGTCTCTTTTGCCATGCCAAACGGCAGCACAACCCACCCCCCGCCCCCCCCTTGCCGTAAACGTTGTTGCTGTTGATATTTGCTCAATACATTTATTTTTGTATTTTCTAACGAATGCTTGTTGTTGTTGCTGTTGCCACATGCCTGCCCCGCCGTCCTCTGCGGCGGCCCTCCCTCCAATCAGGCCGTTGGCGCACTTGTTACGCGCCGCCGTCGCTGACGTTGTTGGACGGCTTGGCCTGGCTGCCGCTTCGAGCAAAAGCTCATTTGTTGCGCGGCGTTGGATGAAAACGCGTCGAAATCGCGTGAAACGAGCGGCTGAACGAACGAAACAAAAACGCCAGCACCCGAAGAAGGCGAAGAAAAACGCGCGCGTGCGTCGAGAAGGAGAAGAGGAGGAGAACAACAACAACATCAAACACAATGTAACGGTTTCTTCATAATTTTGCGTAAATTGTTTTGATTTCTTTTGCGTGAAATCAATAAAAACAGAAATGAAAATTTATTGAACTCTCCGCAAGTGTGTGCAAGTTTTGTGTGTGTGTGTGTCTGTGATGATGTTGAAACGAAATCAATTTTTTTCCACTGTACGCGGTCGTGTGACAACGCAGACTTGTGCTTATCATTTGCACATGATCGTGTGACTGCACCTCGCTCGCTCTCTCTCCATCTCTTCCCACTATCCTCCTTTGGTCTGTCACTCTCCTCCTTTGGCCCCCCGCCATCTCTTCCTCACTATATGCACCCTCGTTGAGGGTATAATAACTGCCACGCACTGAATGTTTTTTTCAAATATTTTTTCAAAATGTAAAAATATTGTTGGAAGGTCTTGTGGTTCCGAAAAAATTAAACAAAACTTAAACCTAGAATATTATAAGGATAAATTTGATTGTCATCTGATGAGTGTAGGTATCCATCGATCTGTAAGGGTATTCAAAGCCTTGCCAACCTACGTTTCTGGTTTGGGTTTTGATATTGATTTATTTTGACATTTTCTAGGCGCCTCTTGGGTAACATTTTACTTAGAAATATTTTTATTTGCTTTGCTTAAATTAGCAGCCACAGGTCCCGTTCTCCCGCCATCCCTCCTTCCCTATTGACTGTTGCCAAGTGTTTTGTTTTTGTTTTTTTTTTGTCTCTGCCGGTTTTAGAGGCGTTTCCTGTACTCTTCGTCTGCGTCGCCGTTTTGTTTGTTGTGTAAACATTTTTTTATACCTCTGCTTCGTATTTTATTTTATTTGAGTTTCCCATTAGAATACGGTCCCCAAAAAAGTTTTAAATTGCGAAATTCAGTTAACCCCCAAAAAATATATAGTATGTGTCTTTGTGTGTAGTATCTATGTATGTGTAATAACAATTGCTGTTTGCCTAGCTGATGTCGGTTTTAATTAAGTGCCGGCACATGACACGTCCGATAACTGGTGGCTTTATCGCAGTTTTCGCCTTGTCATAGATATCTTCATGGAATTTTAGTTGCACTCATTTGCTACCCATTGGTAAAAGGGGATATTTATAGGTAACAGGGAGAAGGAACAATAGGGAAAAACCTGTGCCAATGGAAGAGTATTTTCTGTATTTTATTGTCAAAAGTATAGTCTAAAGTTCTTTGAAGTGAATCAAATAAATCCAATGAGAAGGTATCGAAAAATATACAAACATACATATGTATATATTTTTTATGGGCTTTCTTCCAAGTTTCATCGCAATTTCGGGGCAGGCCTTATCTCATTATGGGACTACCGAGTGGTACACTCCAGCGACTAAGTGGAACAATATCATTATTATAAACATTTTAGCTCAAAAGCTAATTACGATTTCCACACGTTACTGTTGTTGTTGTTGTTGTTGTTGTTGTGGATGTTGTTGCTGCTGCTGCTATTTATAGCTCAATGCGGTCATTGGTCCCTCGCTCACCTCCCCGGCTCTCCGGCATTCCCCACATTCAGCTGAGAGTAAAACGCTTTTTATGCTACATGGAACAAAAGAGCGACATACAGAGAGAGGGAGAGCAAAAGAGAGCACGCTTACAGTTGACCGATCGCCAAACAGTCGCGGGCCATCATATGGTGCACACTGCTCTCGTCTATTCATAAAACGAAACCTTATCAGCGAAACGTGGAAAAATTTAGCATAAGAGCGGTTCCCAGGGGGGTGTGGAGCGGGGGAAGCTGCCAGTTTGACATGTGTTGGGCGTTAAAATATTATTTATTGTGCCAAAACGTGCGGGTAATTCCCGGCTTCATCAAAAAAGTCGCAATAAATTTTCAAACAAAACAATTATAAAACAAAAAATAATGAAATATTCCGAAAAAAAAATGCAGTTTGTTTTTGGCAAAAACCTTAAGAAATATTGAAATATTCCGAAAAAATGCACTTTATTTGCAATGATTGAATTTTAATAAATAATAATAGTACATTTTCAGCGCTTAATTAAATTTTATAAATTTAAGAGTACAAAAAAGTAATTTTTCTAAAAATTTTAAACATTGAAATGCATGAAGGAAATTGTTTAGCAATTAATTAGCATACAAAAATGTTGTTTAATTTTGTTAAAAAGTATTGGTTTATGGCTAATGTACCCCTCATCGATGATGCACTGACTTTCCCATGCCACATTTAGATAATGACTAAGAGAACCAACCATGGAATAGGCCCTGACTCATACTTTCCCCCAACCCCCCCAAAAATCAATTCCCATTTAATATTTTGAAATCAAAATTCCAATCAATTTCAAAATCAATTTCGGCTCCTCTTTCCAACGACTCGACATTTTATCCATGAAATGTTCAAGAATTAGAGCTCGTTTATCTTGTAGACTTGTTGTTTTATGAAACCCATTGACGATAACCAAAGGCAAGGCCCAAACTTTACCCGAAATTTACTCTTTGCTCTATTGCAGAGGTTGCGCACATCGCCAACAACAACAACAACAACAGCAAACCCGCTTCGGGAGCCAACGAATCAGTTGCCGATCCCAGAGATAGCCGCATCTTCGGTTGCTTTGTCAAGAAGGAGAAGCACCAGGAGGAGCGTGAGCAGCCATCAGAGGAACAGCAGGACTCAGGAGCCAGAGAAAGTTCCCATTCGGGCAGCTACAACGTCCAGCAGGAGGAGAAGCGATCCAGCGTCAATCTAGCAGGAGGATATCCATCCATCTATCGGCAGCAGGACGAGGAATTCCATCCACCCTGTCAGGAGAAGCCTCCCCAAAAGAAAGATAGTTTCGTGGTCTGCAAGCAGCCCAAACCGAGAGGCAGGCAACCACAGCAGCGCTCCCAGAGCCAACCGGCGATATCACAGCAGCCCCGCCGACGTCCAGGGACACCGCCACCGCACGCCGCCGCCACCGCCACCGCCAAGAGCATGACCTCCATACCCGCCACCCTGTCCAGCAACAATGTGGCCGCCGCTGGAGCGGCCAATGTGCCGGAGAAGCAGCCGTGGCCGAACTCCAAGGACGACTACGAGCTGCGGGACGTGATCGGAGTGGGCGCGACCGCGGTGGTGCACGGGGCGTACTGCATACCGCGGAACGAGAAGTGCGCCATCAAGCGGATCAATCTGGAGAAGTGGAACACGTCGATGGACGAGCTGCTCAAGGAGATCCAGGCGATGTCGTCGTGCAACCACGAGAACGTGGTCACCTACCACACATCGTTTGTGGTGCGCGAGGAGCTGTGGCTGGTGCTGCGCCTCCTGGAGGGCGGCTCCCTGCTGGACATCATCAAGCACAAGATGCGGACGTCCAACTGCAAGCAGGGCGTCTTCGACGAGGCCACCATTGCCACGGTGCTGAAGGAGGTGCTCAAGGGCCTGGAGTACTTCCACTCGAACGGCCAGATCCATCGCGACATCAAGGCGGGCAACATCCTGATCGGCGACGACGGCACCATCCAGATAGCCGACTTCGGCGTGAGCGCCTGGCTGGCCACGGGCCGGGATCTGTCGCGCCAGAAGGTGCGGCACACCTTCGTGGGCACCCCCTGCTGGATGGCCCCGGAGGTGATGGAGCAGGACCACGGCTACGACTTCAAGGCGGACATCTGGTCGTTCGGGATCACGGCCATTGAGATGGCCACCGGAACGGCGCCGTACCACAAGTACCCGCCGATGAAGGTGCTCATGCTGACGCTGCAGAACGACCCGCCCACCCTGGACACGGGCGCCGATGACAAGGACCAGTACAAGGCCTATGGCAAGACATTCCGCAAGATGATCGTCGAGTGCCTCCAGAAGGAGCCCTCGAAACGGCCCACTGCCAGCGAGCTCCTGAAGCATGCCTTCTTCAAGAAGGCCAAGGACCGCAAGTACCTCACCCAGACGCTGCTCCAGTCGGGCCCCAGCATGGAGACGAGGGTGCACAAGGCTGCCAAGCGGCAGCCGGGAGCCTCCGGTCGCCTGCACCGCACCGTCACCGGCGAGTGGGTGTGGTCCAGCGAGGAGGAGGACAACGGCGGCACTAGCGGCGGACGCAAGCATCCCTCATCGGACTCCGATTCGGAGGATCGGCCCATGAACCGGCTGGAGCGGGCCGACTCCTCGGACAGCGACCGAGAGGACCCCTCGCCCGAGATCACGCACAGCGTCTCCTCGGCCACTGTTACGCCAGCAACGGCCGCAGCAGGAGCACTGAATGCCACTGCCGCCCCAGTCGCCGCCGCCAGCACCCAGGAGGTGACCGCGGGCCTGGCCCAGATGCCCCTGCCCAGTGAAGAGCGGGGCGGCGAGGAGGCACCACCCGTCAATCTGGTGCTGCGGATGCGCAACCTGCGCCGCGAACTGCACGACATTCGCTTCGAGTTCATGGTGGGCAAGGACACGGCCGAGGGCATTGCCACCGAGCTGGTGGATGCTGGCCTCGTGGACGCCCTGGACACACAGCCGATGGCCCAGCACCTGGACCACCTGATAGCCCAGTGCGCCACCATGAAGACGATCACGTTCCAGCTGAGCTCGGGCGTCCAGCCCGGCGAGGTGCCCGACGAGCGTTCGCTGGTGGGCTATGCGCAGATATCCATCACGGACTAGGACTAGGACTAGGTCGGGCTGCCCGGCGGCCCAGTGCCTTAGATGCAGCTCTACCCTAGACCGGCCGCCCGCCCGCCCGCACGCTCGCTCCATCCCTCAACCAAACACACACACAATCCTCGCCACAAACACCTCCCAATCAAGCGCGCCAGTCTCTGATACGTAAGGCCAGAGGAAAGGGCCAGGAGTCCAGGAGTGGACCGGAACCGGAACCGTAACGTTGCCGTTGCCGTTGCTGCTTTTAGCACTAGACTAGAACTAACTGTAAATGCTAGTGATAGATGTTAACGCGAGCCGATCGTTTACTATAGAAATTATCGATGTATACACATATGTATCTTCTCTATATACGCCCCTACCTATATACTATATATCCATATATATATATATATATGTATATCTAAAGCGCATTGTAATTACTCCATGTGTACTCCCCCCACGCCCCCCACGCATAGCTACCCTTTCCCCCTCTGCTAAAGTAGCTAAAATAGTTCAAGAACCGTGTACTTATTCGTTTTCGTTTCGTTCGTCTTTAAGTAGCGCGCCCTCCCTACCACCCCCCCCACCCTCGCCCGCTCTGTATATAAATCTGTTTTTTCGATTAGCCCGTTGCCCGACCCCGGTCCAGCCCTGCCCAACCAGCCACAATCCCCCGCCCCCACCCACCAGGCGCCTCTAATTTATTCTCTAGCAATCGTAAACCCTAATTTGTAAAGCCTAGCGCCTAAGTCTTGTTTTGTTTTACTCTCTCCCCGAGCCCAACTTTTATTTTATACTATTTTACTCCACTCGTACTCTGCTCCACGAATCCTGCAAGCACCCTTAGTCGATAAGCCTGCAACAGATGCAACACTACACTCTAAGAGAAACAACCAGTAGGGCGCCCCCAGGCACAGTTGTGGCGACCAGTCTACCCTTAGTCTAAAGAGTAATACATACTTTATATAATTCAAGCTCTGTAACTACGATGAAGTACCGTAAACTACCCATAACTTTAGAACACTGAATATTATTAAAAAAAAAAAACAAAAAACACACATCATTTAGTAAAGAGAAAATCACAAAAAAAAAAACAAAAACAAGAAACGAAAAAGGATTTTAATTTTTGTGTTTTTATTGGTCTCCCTATCCTTCCCTTTTTTTTTGTTGGAAAAAAAACTGGTGAAAAATTCGATCAATTCCTGCTCTTATTTTGCATCTTTGTATCTCATTGTTCCTCACATCTTGGGCAGCTCCCCAACCCATCTTATATGTATCTATGGTCCTGAAATTGTGTGGTGGAATTTAACAAGAAGCCAGTATATGCCTGTAACTTTAGACTTATTAAATTTTAAATTGTTGAAACGAGAGTAAAACTAAAACTAAAATTAAACATTTTAAATGCAAAGACCTCTTAGATACTTAAACAATTATACGATTATTTAATCGAGCAATTATTATAGTAGAGGACCGACTGGATTGGGATGTCCCCATTGTATACGAGAGAATACGAGAAATTTCGAAATAAATATTGCATTTGGTTCCCTGAAAAAAAAAAACATCTACGATTGTCCTGTCAACCTCTCAAGTTTTATTGTTAATTGTTTATTGAACAAATTTGCAGCCATGTCCGACTATTTTGAGGAGCTGGGCCACGAGCCCACCGGTCCGGAGGGGGCCAACGACTTTGCCAAGCACTACCGCCGCCTGCAGGTGCTGGCCATCATGAACGGCATCGACATCGACATACAGGTGCCGGAGGCCTCGAAGCGCGCCATCGCTGCGCTGCCTGTGCACAAGGTCCTGGAGGCCGAGCTGGGCGGCGATCTGGAGTGCGCGGTGTGCAAGGAGCCGGGCCTGGTGGGAGAGGTGTACAAGATTCTGCCGTGCAAGCACGAGTTCCACGAGGAGTGCATTCTCCTGTGGCTGAAGAAGGTAATCGTTGGGTATTCCATTCAGTCCAGTACTTAATCGATCCACCTGCAGGCCAACTCGTGTCCCCTGTGCCGCTACGAGCTGGAGACCGACGATGCGGTGTACGAGGAGTTGCGCCGCTTCAAGCAGGACGAGTCCAACCGCCGTGAGCGCCAGGACAACCTCATGAATTCCATGTTTGGTTAGAGAAAGTGCTGAAATTGTCATTTGGTTAAGGGAAATAAAGATTGGTATGGTATGAGCCTGTAACGTTTTAATGGCTGGGTGGAACATGGGATGCATGGATTGTGTTGCCTTTTCCAAAACCGGAAGTTGATACAGTACTCGTATAGCACTCGTATATACTAAAACACAAAGCAGCTGTGGCACTTTCCGTTGAGGCGTCACACTATTTTGGCAGGTCGACAGGGATCCGGGAAATCATTTACATTCGTTTTCTAAAGCATTAAACACATACCAAAACAAAAACACGTGCAGTCATGTCTGACTTCAATGACGATCATTTCCCCGGCGTAACCGCGAATGAGAGATTCAACAGGCAGTACCACCGCCTGCTGTTGCGGGCCGTCATGAATGTGGACATCGAGATAGGCATACCGAGGGCCACCCAGGACGTCATTGCTTCTCTACCATTTCGCAAGGTTCGGGAATCGGAGCTGGTGGGCGTCGACCCGAAGTGCTCCGTGTGCATGGAGTCCCTCCAGGCTGGTGAGATATTGAAGAGCATGCCGTGCAAGCACGAGTTCCACGATCAGTGTCTCATCCGATGGCTGAAGGAGGTAACCACGCATGTGCGATACGGGAATAGTAATAGTATCCGATCTTCCACCTGCAGTCCTACTCGTGTCCCTTGTGTCGCTTCCAGCTGAAATTCCAAGAGTTGACCTTTACAAGAGTGACCCACGGGCACCTGGCACCGGTCAACCACCCCCTAGTCCACGTCTACGGGCCCTTCCGCCGCAGCGAGGCGGGGTCCCTCCGTCGCAGCCTGACCGGGCCCAGCCACCGCAGCCAGGACGGATCGAGGCACCGCTTGCAGGACGACTCCAACAGCAGTGACCAGGACGACTCCGACAGTAGTGACGAGGAAGAGTCCGGCCGCAGTGACCAGGACGACTCAAACCCCAGTGGCCAGGTCGGCTCTAACCCCAGTGGCCAGGCCGACTCTAACCCCAGTGGCCAGGCCGACTCTAACCCCAGTCACCACTCTTACCGCAGTGACCTGGACAGCTCCAACCGCAGTGACCTGGACAGCTCCAACCGCAGTGACCAGGACGACTCCAGCCGCATTGACCAGGCCGACTCTAACCTCAATGACCAGGACCACTCTAACCTCAATGACCAGGATCACTCTAACCTCAATGACCAGGCCGACTCTAACCCCAGTCACCACTCTTACCGCAGTGACCTGGACAGCTCCAACCGCAGTGACCTGGACAGCTCCAACCGCAGTGACCAGGACGACTCCAGCCGCATTGACCAGGCCGACTCTAACCTCAATGACCAGGACCACTCTAACCTCAATGACCAGGATCACTCTAACCTCAATGACCAGGCCGACTCTAACCCCAATGACCAGGCCGACTCGGACCGCCGATTTTATTAGACTGAGTTACATTCGTTGTCATTTTGTATGTGAGAAATTTCATGTTGAATAATTATACAGGCAAATATGATATGGTAGAGCACACTAATGGGTGGGCGGAGGATCATCGCTGCATTGTGTGTATGCAACTAACTAAAATTCCCTTGGAATTTTTAAATATCTTGTGATTTGTATAGTTTATCATCGCAAAGATCACCACTAATAAATATCTAAAATTAAATTTTGGCGCCTAAACAATAGACAAAGGGTTGACACGTATATAATTTGTATAACAAGTATCGCAAAAGCTGTCTATTCTGCCTCTAGTCCGATATCGATAGCAAATGCGGAGCAGTGGAAAAATGCTATTAGCAAATCTGAGCAAAAAATTGATGGATGGCAACGCTGGCTGGCGCAAAAGGTTTAAACAGTGCGCAATAATTTAAGAAGTTACTAATAAAACTATTGATCAACTTATGAATATTGATCGAATACATAGAAATGTAGGAACTTGCATATAAACATGCAGTCGATATTTTAGAACTTCACAAAACACCACCTCGAATATTGCAGCCCTGTGCGGCGCAAGGTGGGAATTTCTGAGAGTATCAATGGTCTTCCCAAACAAATATCCATATATCGCCAAAGAAATATCACTTTCAACAAAAAATATATATCGATATTTTGATCTATGTTTATTAGCAACCCTAAAAGTGCGGTTATTTCGCATATTTCTATCTCGCACTCTACTTCGGCGTCGTTTTGCTATTACGCCTGAAATTGTCGCGAATTTGGTGCAAACTTTCAATAAAAAAGTATTTATTAAGTGAAATATTAAGCCTCAAGTAAACGTTTAGTGTTTTGTTGGCAAGATGTTTGCCGGCGAGATCGGCATGCAGCATTTTGATCGCCAATTTGTGGCGGGCCTGCTGAAGAAATTGCTGCGCTGCCCAAAATGCCACAGCGACTATGCCCTCAAAAGTGCTAAGGGATACGGTAAGTGTTTTCTCTGAATTAACTATTTGATTAGTTTTCGTGTTAGTTGGGAAGCTATTGAAAAGTATTTTTTTGTGTGCCTGGGTGCGTGTGGGTGCCTGGCGCCCATGAGCATGTATGTGTAGCGTCTGTTTGCCGAGTGATAAAAGTCTAGCCAGGAAAAAGCCAACATAAAAACCGCTGCGTACAAAGTTGCTTTCTTAAAAAGCATTTAATACACACATCCATACACAAACATGAACATATAGCTGTTGATATATATATGTATATGTATATACATATGTACACACGCTCTAATATTTCCAGTGGAAAGGGGAAGCGCATTTAACAGTTGCGTGGAATGTTGCCGAAGAACTTCGTGCTCGGCATCAATATATGTGTATATGCATGTTTCGTTCCAGTCTAGCTACATATGTATGTACATATGTAGAAAAAACCCACAAATAATTCGCGATATTTTCTTTCTGAGTGGGAAAAAAATTCAAGTCCCGTTCCCGTGAAATGAAAATATAGAATTGCCTAATTAATAAATTCAATATTTTCCCTTGAAACGCATAGCATCTCAAAAAGCAAAAAATACATCTTAGCGGAAAAAATGCTGAGCCGGCAGCACATTTACCGTTACACACATATGCGTCGTTTCTCTTTGTGGCGATCTTCTAAACATTTTTCGCTTATCTTTGGCAGAGAACCACCGTCCCTTCCTGCTGCCCTGCGGCCATAACCTGTGCGAGAACTGCCTTAAGAACGGCGAAAAACTGCATTGCGCCGTTTGCTCGGAGCCGGCGCCGCCGACCATTAACGTACAGGATTTGAAGGCCAGCTCCGGCTTGCCGTACCAACTGGACTACCATGTGATGGGGGAGCTGGCTGACTTGGAAAACATGCCCCGTTCATCGGCGAGTCATCAGCAACAGGTGACGCAAAGCTTCGAAGTGTGCGTCAAGTCGAAGTGCTGCGAGTGCATCAGCAGCGTGGCCACGCGCCACTGCAAGCAGTGCAACGCCTTGTACTGCAAGGGCTGCTACGAGGCAGTGCACAAAAACAGTCGCGTGCTGAAGGCGCACGCCTTCAAGTCCGTGAAAGAGCCCTATAATCCACATAGGCGCATGTTTGTGGGCAGTGACGTCTTCCTCATGCCCTTCCAGATGAAGTGCAAAGTCCACCTCACGCAATACAACACCTACTGCCGAGCTTGCAAGATAACCATCTGCGGAGAGTGCGCGGGCAGTATTCACGCGGGACACAAGGTCCAGCAGCTGTCGGAAATAGTGAGCACATTCCCCTCCTGTTAATCCGCTGCTAATCGCTCTGTTGTTCCCTTGCAGAATCTCCGCTCTGTATCCGAGATACCGGCCTGCAAGCGCTCCCTGGAATCTGCGCTGCGCAACATCCACAACGGCCAGGCGGTGAGTACACACTAGTCAGATTTTATTTCACTATCGCTATAGGTCTGTCTGCATATACGATTCGTTTACGGCTAGCTATTTACAGTAGGTACTTGCTTGCTAAGAATAATTTAAGGCATACGATTCTCATTACGAATATGGCAAGCTTTTGCTCCGCTCTCAACGGGGGTCCTCTCATAATCAGGCACTGGGCTCCTTGATGGGCATCAGCTGGCCCGTGTCGCCATCTGTTTTGATCTCAATCACCTCCAGCTTCTCGACGCTTACTCTGGTGGTCTCCTGCTTCTGCTCCGCCGCCTTGGTGTCGCGCAGACTCTGCAGCTTGTCCTCCTGTTCCTGCTCCTCGCTGCTCTGCAGGGCCGTCGGCTCCACGTCAAAGTCAGCGTCAGCGTCAGCCTCTGGTTGCGGCGTGGAAGACACGACTATGGGCCTGAGCACAAACGATTGCTGCGTGTCCTGAGTGCTGGTGGTGGCCATCACAGTGGTGGGCGTCTGGTCGAAGGTGTCGTAGGAGCCGCGCTCCGAGATATCATCGATCTCGTCATCGATCAGCAGATTCCTCTCGGAGCTCTGCTCGTACACCTGGGCATTGATGCCGCTGCCATGCTTGGGCGATGGCTTGTGGTTCTTCGGCATCGCCGGGGTGGACGGGGCCTCCACGGGCTTCTCTGCCTGCTGGTTGGTCTTGCGCTGCTTCTCCTGCCGCATCTTATCCTCCATTTCCTGGAACTTCATGGCCAGATATCTGCAAGGAATCGGATATTAATCTATTTTAAGCTTAAAAACACAACCATCTCTCACTTGTCCACAATGGGTCCGTTGTAGTCCTCTGGGAACTTCGGATTGAAGGGCAGTATGTACTTGTAGAGGCGCTCGTTCAGCACATACAGCTGCGCCGTTGTCGAGCATTTCACATTGAACCACCAGTCGCAGGTGAGGGCAATCTGTGGAGGAATAGCAGAAGCGTAAGGAATGTATTGCCGATTTCTACAGCTAGCCAGATCCCACCTGACTGAAGATGGTTCCATTGGGACACAGGAAGGAGGCCTTGCCCCCGTTGAGATCGCAGTAGTGCCACACCTGGCAATTGGTCTCTGGATCGCCGAAGAACCCCTTGTAGCGTTGCTTGGTGCACTCGAAGCTGGTCTGCGGTATCACCGAATAGTTGGGATAATCGATGCCAGCCCGCCCAGTGCTCGGGCCTGGATGTTTGTCTGAAAGGAAGATCATCTTTGATCAAGTCTGTAATGAGAATTCTGTGGCAAGCACTCACTTGGTCCCTTATCGGAGCCTGTGGCTGGGGCGTGATCCTCTCCGCTGTCCGTGTTGTAGTCGTAGTCGTCGTGGGAGGAGCTGCTCTGCTTCGTCTCGTGATGCTGCGGCGGATTGTGGGCAATGGTCTGGGTCTGCTTGAGGTTCTGGAGAATGCGAATCAGCGTCTTGATCGAGTTGTCAATGTTGTCCGGCGTCAGGGTCTGCGGCAGGTGGTTGCTGGCCTGCAGCTTGTGCAGGATCTCAGCCAGCGAGGAGGTGCGTATGTCCGGCAGCTGGTCGTCATAGACGGCGGGGTGTCCCTGAACGGCTGGCGTCAGTGGAGGACGCTCGTGGGCGTACTGGTAGACGGGCTTCAGCTTGATGGGCGTCACAGTGGAAGGCTCTCTGCTGGCCCCTTCACTGGGCGGAGGCGGTGCCGCCGACTTGGGGGCTTTGCTGGACACATAGACGTACTTGGGCGTGATCTCAACCGTATGACTGGGCGTGGGCGAGGGCGTGGTCACGTAGATGGGTCGCCGGGTGGCCTTGTAGGTGTGCACCGGCTGCAGCCGCAGCGTTGGCTGCTGCTTGTAGAGCACCGCCGGCCGAGGCGTGGATATATCGGGATGGAGGTGGAGGCTCGGTCCAGCCGGTTGGTGTTCCGTATGCGGCGCCATTGTGGTCACCAGGATGTAGGCATGCTGCAGATGAGGCGGCCCTACCTGGGACGGCTCGTGTGGATGCTGCTGCTGTTGCTGCTCCTCCTCCAAAGACTGTCTGGGTCCGTCTATCAGGTAGTCTATGAATTGTGGCGGTGCTGGGGAGCTAAGGACAATCGATTCGTTTTATGATTTGTAGGCAATCGATTTGAATCAAACCATTTCATGGATCGCAAAGGAGGCTTTCAGTTAGAGGTTAGCAGAATGAATTGGGTCTGAGGTATGACATGTCATTTATGGATTTCGATCAGCGGTTGTGTTGAACTTGGGGCGGGATATTGTGTGTTAAGCGAAACGAGGAGTCATAAATCATAAAGAATGATAATCTAAATCTATTCGATTGCGATCCGATCATTATTATAGCATTTTTATGGACCCTCTATTCATAAAAGGTAACACATCCTAATAGAACTTACTACTGCGGCTATTCGAACACCTGGTTTTCAAAAACTTTGAATTCTATATAGCTCTATAATGCTATAGGCCTTTTGAGGCCATACACAGATCAAGCTAATGCAACCTGTGGCTTTTTCTACGACATTTTATTTCATATAAAGATTTATTTACTTTTAATTTAAAATTCAAATTTTTATACCGAATTCTGGCTCTTTAAAAAATCTCTAAAAATGTTTAGCGTTTTGTATAACGTGTGCCGCGAATCCAAACGATTTTCTGCTATAGTTAAGTATTTGCGTCACCATCATCAAATGGTTTTAAGTAAAAAGTAAATACAATTCTATGCAATTTTTAGCCTTTACTAAGAGCCATTGATGCTAAAAAAGTCAAGACTTTTCTTGTTCATCATTTTATAGGCAAATGCTATCCGATAGTATCGATAAAGGCACGCATATAATATTTAGTTGTTCCAAGCACAACAAAACACGGAAAACTTTCCCTCTCTAAGGAATTACAATAATACAGTCGAACTTCCTCTCAAATTCATAATATATAATTAATTTTTCCAGAATATAGCCTTGCTGTTAGATAGAAATCATCGTTGTATGGAAGTCCGTAATAAAGAAGTTCGACTGTATTTACAAATTCCTTGAAGAAGAAAACATCAGATCGTACGAGTACCAAACCCTAATTGACTTTTGATCTAAAACTCGAAATTATTACACTAACATCTGCCCTTTCCACTCTGGACTTGGCCATTTCCACCTTGGAGAAGGCGCACAATAATATGTAGACATTCCTTTGCCTCCCTACTTACCCGAGCGGCGCTTCCTTAACGAATTCGTGCCGCGGTGGCTGTGGCTGTGGCTGGGGCTGGGATTGGGACTCCGACAGCGACTGCTCGTTTACATGGGCCAAGAGGGCGTGCAGTGGAATGTGCAGCACCTGTTGACCAGCGGCCGCATCCGGACGCACATACAGCGCGTCGTACTTGTGTGGATGGTGGCCCTGGCTCTGGGACTGGGTCTGTGTCTGTGTCTGGGTGTGGGATGGCTGATTGGGATGCAGATGAGGCGTGTGTTGCTGTTGCTGCTGTGCTGGTGGTGGTGGGTGTGGTTTCCCAGCTAATGTATTGCTTTGCGCTGGCCGAGCCGGATGATGGAAGTCGTAGTGTTGCTGCTGCAGTTTCTGGTGTTTCATGCGTTGTTGTAAGTAAAGCACATACTTCTCCTGGGGCGTCATGTGCCCCGGACTCTGACTCTGGCTCTGATGGTGATGCTGATGATTCGGATGATTCTGATTGGGGTTCGGATGATGGCTACCGCCACCGGTCGAGTGGGGCGGTGGGGGGGCCATGTTGAAGTAACTCTCGTACTTGCTGACATGCCCGAATGGCGGCGATTTTTGATGGATTATCAGTGCGGTTTTCGAGGCTGAACGTTGGCCTGTCCCTGTCCCTGGCCCTGGCCCAGTGTCGCCGCCAGAGGCGTCAGCGTTGGATGCGGATGCGGATGCGGATGCGGATGCTGGCTCGCTGTAGACACTGTAGCCAATGCTGTGGGTGGTTCATGCAAAGCGTTATGGTTGGGTTTGAGTGATGTCATTGTGGTTGTTGGTTGGGTGATTGTAAGAACGGTACCAAGCCCCCCCCCTCCCCCCTACCTCTGCCCGTTCGTACGTTTTGTGGCCGACAGATTTTTGAGCCGCGCCCGGCGGCTACTTATGACATGAATTTGCCATTTGACAATTACTACAAGAACATAAGGCCTCCCCAGCCCCCTGTTGCCCATGGCAACCGCCACATGTGGTACATCGAACTGCAATTGGGGCCCCCGATCTTGCGACATTTTCGTCGATTCTCACACGAAGATGTGCGATGGAGGGGGAATGGAGACACGGAGACGGAGGCTGCTTGTGGATTGAGTCATTGCATTTAATGCAATTGATTTTTCTGCCCAAGGGCATTGCACATGCAACGTCTCTGGCGTCTGTTGCGGCCGCAATAATGATGTTGCTGCCGGGTGGCTGATGCTGTCCGAGATGTCGTCTGCACCCAACGTGTTAGGGTATCTGTGGTGCGTTGCACTCGGTGGAGTGCAGCTCCCCACCGAAAATGGCAACACTTTTAATTGGTATTCTACATGCGGCTCGAAGCGCATCACATCACGAGATAGTTGAGTGTGTGTGGGCGCTTGAGGGCGTGGCTGTGAGAACAGAGCCCCCAAACAGCCATGCTGGGGAAGCCATGCTCCGACTTACATTTTGGTCGCCTCGACTTTCACACAGAGAGGAAGACTCTTTGGCTAATAAATCTTACCTTGGTGTTGGCTGTGCCTGCCGTTGCTCCTCCACTGGCTCTTGTTGCTGCTGCTCCTCGGAAGATTGCTGCTCTGGTGAGGCAACTCCAGCTGCCTCGACTGCTGCATAATCCGTAACGATTTGTGTTTGATGGGAGTTTTTATGCGGCGCTGCATCTTCGAAGACAATTTCTGGCTTGTTGTTGTTGTAATTGATGGTATTGCCATTATGCTGCTGCTGCTGCTGCTGCTGATCATTGTTGTTGCTGGTGCCCACTGGCGTATAAATAATGGGTACAAACTGTCCCGGCAATGTGTTCTGCGCTGTAAACGGTGTTAAATTGATTTTTGATTGTTTGCCACGCTGTCGATGGTGATGGTACTGCTGCGACGATGCCACCAAACCAGAAGACGATACTATCTCGTACTGTGGCTGCTGCTGTGGCAGATACTGCTGCTGCTGCTGCTGCTGCTGCTGTTGCTCCTTCTGTGCTGGCAACGGCGGAAAATGCTGCACCGTCTTGTGCTGTGTGTGTGTGTGTGTGTGTGTGTATAAATTATGAATTTGATGATTATTTCTGCTTATTTATGCTCTACGGAATCAAATACTGCCTTGTCTACTTGCCTTGTGCGTCGGGTTCAATGGCTTGTAGGCTATAAAAGTGGCGCCCGAATCCGTCAGCGGCGGCTCCTTTCCCTGGCCAGGTGGCGGATGCGGATGCTGATGCTGGTGTGGATGCGGGTGCGGGTGCTGATGGCTGCCTATGGCCAGGGCATGATACACTTCGCCTGCACCCGACTGATAGTGCGCCGCATGGTGGTGATGGTGGGGATGTGGCTGGTGTTGCTGCTGATGCAGATGCTGCTGCTGCTGCTTCTGCTTCTGCTGCTGCTGCTGCTGTGGCATGTAGGCCAGCGGCACGGGTATACGACCAGCTGAGGGCGCCTGCAGCTGTGCCCCGCCAGCGGACGCCGAATGCTTGGCGGCATACTGCTGATTGATGGGCAGCTCCGGTGCCGGCAGATAGAAGGCCATGTAGGGTATCAGGCGACGACTGCGCTCCGAGGCGCTCAGCTGCGAGTCGCCCAGAAGGTCGCTGCTGTTGCTGTTGCCTCGACTGTGCCTCTTGCCATTGTCTGGGATGGGTCCTGCAGGACCTGCTGGACCCGCCGCTTGGTTAAACGGCACAAGGCAGGCAGCTGTAAGGTAAAAGAGTAGACTATTAGTGCTCTCCCTTATTGTTTTTTGGGGATTATCGGGGATTTTTTGAAGAGAAGTTAAGGCAACCAATAATTAAAAATTTGTCAAAATATTCGTTCTGTATTTGCTCATGTTCGTATGACACCATCCGTTAAGTCGGTGCGGCTGGACATAAAGACCTTATGGGGGAAAGCTTCTGCTCTCGCTTGCTGGTAGCAGCAGAGCACAAAATCCACCAATTTTACGGTTTGTCTCATGCTATCTTTGTCTTGCAGTCTCGGTTGAATATACGACGATAAGAAGAGAATGTCAACATAAAGACAAAAACTACGCAGCAAAGTAGAGCGAGAGAGAGATAGAGTCCCGTTTGTTATTCTCCCACCCTCACTAGGTCGAGATCGAGAAGCCGTCTCGGTCGATTGTGCTGTTGTTTTTTAGAGAGAGCCATAGAGCGCAGAATAGAAGGAATTGCGGAGAGAGAATTATACTGAATTATTTGCGAGAGCATTTAAAGCAAAAGCTAAAAGCAAAAGCTACATATAAGCAAAAGCTGTTAGATAAAATGAGGATCAAAATGGCTTTCTATTTGTTTTGTATATAAAAAAGAGCTGTGTAAATGTTCCAGTTTAGGACGAGGATTGATATGAAATATATATATAATATCGTGGTGGTTACGGAATGAATCAATGCCGTCGGTTGCTCGCAAAAAACAGGAAAGAAGTGAGACTCTTTCTGTTCCTCTTGCGTCCAAAAGGTGCTAAAAAATGACAAAAAGATTAAAGTAGGAGATTTTTGACTTCGATGGAATGAAAACCAACTACGGAGAGAAAACAAATACTGCTGAAATGAAGAGCCTGCAAGATAGAGTTATTCATAGATAAGGACATGGCCATGGTTGGGCCCTTAGGTCATCCGCTGGTTTTGGAAATTTGGTTTTCTTGGACAGAGCAATGTTATCTATCGATAACTCATAGAAAACCTCCAGCAAAGATTCGAAAAACTCGGGATAGAAGATAGTTTATCAGTGGACAAAAGCTCAAACGCCACCCTTTAGCGTTTCCAGATACTGTACGCAGGACAATAGGCATCTCAGGGCCTACTGATGGACTGTCGTTCGTTTCGAAACACTCTCCCCCATCGGGCAGGCGGCGGGGAGAAAGTATTGTTTAGTTTTGGTTTGTAAATCAGTAATCGTTGGTGGATCTGTCCAAATTCATTGTTGACACCGTTTTGTTTGAGCGACTTTTTTGTTCTGTTTTCTTTTTGTGTTTCGCCTCAAACACCTACACACGCCTCGTACGTTTGTTATTTTGTCAAAATTTCTGGACTCGTATAGTAGGAATATTTCGTCAGCTCAATTAATTACATCCATTGAAATTACAAAAATTTGTGAAATCAACCAACGCTAAGGTAAGTCGATGCAACGTCGTGCAGCCGATGGCACTCTACAGCACAGCCCTAAAAACCCTTTCCGATAGTTGGGGGGAAAAAAAGACCAAAAGACACGCACGCCCAGTCCCCGCCCCGCCCGAGAATCGGTATCGCCCTAAGAAGAAGAAGGAATCATGTCAAAGTTCAACACCAGCGTGAGCGGACGCCAGCTGAGCACGAGGTCCTCGGACGTGGATGCCCTGGCCCAGCGCGGCTACAATGTGGGCCACAAAATCGGCGAGGGCTCCTATGCCACGGTCATAACAGCGGGCTACTCGGACGACTCGGGGCACGGTGTCAATCTGGCCTGCAAGATCATCGACAAGGCCCGGGCGCCCACGGACTTTGTGAACAAGTTCTTTCCGCGCGAGCTGGATATCCTGACGAAGATCGACCATCCGAACATCATCCAGATCCACAGCATCCTGCAGCGCGGGCCGAAGATCTTCATCTTCATGCGGTTCGCCGAGAACGGGGACCTGCTGTCGCACATCAAGAAGATGGGCCCCATCGAGGAGAAGCAGTCGAAGATCTGGTTCCTGCAGATGGCCAAGGCCCTGCGGTACCTGCACAACATCGACATCGCCCATCGGGACCTCAAGTGCGAGAACATCCTGCTGTCGAAGCGCCTCAACATCAAGCTGGCCGACTTTGGGTTCGCCCGCTACTGCCGCGACGACGGCGGCATCGAGATGAAGTCGGACACGTACTGCGGCTCGGCTGCCTATGCCGCTCCCGAGGTGGTCTCCGGGCGGCCCTACGACCCGAAGCTGGCCGATGCCTGGTCGTTGGGGGTCATCCTGTTCATCATGATGAACGCCAAGATGCCCTTCGACGACAGCAACCTGACCAAGCTGCTGGAGGATCAGCGCAACCGCAAGTTCGCCTTCCGTCGCAAGCTGCAGGACAGCATCACGGCCCCGGCCAAGGCCACCGTATCCGTGCTGCTGGAGCCGGAGTCGGCCGCCCGCTGGAACCTGCGCGAGATACTCAAGTGCGCCTGGCTGCGCAGCGTCGATCAGCCCGAGACAGCGGACCCCTAGGTGGTGCCTTGGAGCGTGCGTGTCGATTTCACAGATCAATAGTGTATTAGATAGATAAATTCCTTGGTATTTATCCGATTATCAGATCAGGCCATCCATCCCTATATCCTCCTCCAAAATGTAATGTCTCTTAATGAAACAATAGTCCAGTAATAGTCCAATCTCTGGCTGCCTTTGACTTTTACTCGTACGAAAAGCCTTCCAAATTCCAAATTGTGCAATCGATGCCAGCCCCGTCGAACCCCCCACAATTAAGAGACCCCAGACCCAGAGCCAGAGCCAGAGCCAACGAAGCCTAACCACACAGCACTCTGGCGGGTTGCTGTCATAACCCGCAACCGTAGGAGAGAGAGAAAAAGAAACCTATTATAAAATAGCATTAGGTAAATTTTCAAAGCAAATTTTTCTTGCATCTTTCCCTCTCTCCGTGTCGTCGTCGTCGTGGTTTATCGTGTGCATTGTGTGCCACACTCTTCTCCCTGGGGGTTGGGGCTGTGCTTAGTGAGGCACGACGCCATCGAAACATCGGCCAAGGCAGGGGCCCAAGGAGAGGGGCGCACCACCGACAATCCGGCAGCAAATGATTTAGTTGTTTATTAAATAATTGAATGGTTGAGTAAACCTTAGTTCTTAGTACAAGAATGGAAGTACTTCCGCTCTTTTAGCCCTTTGCGAAAACAATCCATACTATTACTGAAAAAAGCAATTGCAATGCATTACAACCCTTCAAATTGTGGTACATCTTACGACTTGTAGGGAGCCTAGGGAAAATAATTTAATTATAGTTGAAATCGCAGTTGTGGGGGCTACTGTATAAAAATATACAATTTATCTCTTACGGTATATCGATTCTAAACAGCTCTTTTTTGGCTACTCTCTCTGCGATCTACTCCCTTTCTGGAGCTGCTCTTTGTGCTATCTACTCTCTCCTGCTGCTTCTGGTGCTGTTCCGTTCTGTCTGTTAGGTGGTCCGCTTACTCTCTTTCGGGTCTTTTTTTACGCTCAGTACAACTGAGAGCGCTTTGACGCCATGTTTAATGCGAGAGAGAGAGAGAGAATAACGAAGTTTGCCGAAGACCCGAAAAGAGAGCGCGTTGCGGGAGCGGAGCACCTTGTGTAATTTCAACACGGTTCTAACGCTGTTATTGGTCTCTGCTGATGCTCTTTCAATGGCCCATTCCTTCTTATATACAGTACCAGACTTAAGTGTTGGCACAGCAATAACTTTTTAGTTTACTCGTGTTACTCTCTAGAGTCCGCTGGCTCTGGCTCTTCGCGTCGCGATATAATCATCTCTGGCTGATAAGAAAAGCTATCGTATCGACATGCCATTACATATTTCTATCCACCGACACGGAGTTGCGCTTTTGCCGCTACCATGAGACAGTGGTATCCCGATCTGGATAAGAGGCCTTTCGTGCCCTTGCAGCCTTAGATTTTTTTTGCCAAAAGCCAAAGTATCTTCTGAAGCATAATTCTAGATAAATTCCCAAAAATTCGGCTGAATCTCTAACCCAAAAATGTTCTCAAGAAGTGGTATCAAAAGGTGGGATACTTAGCTTCTTGTGAAAATATTTCCACCCGAAATTCAAATGGAGCGAATATGAGTTATAATTTGATTTGATTTGATATTAGTTTTGGAGCCGTCTCTTTGAACCAAATGCCTATGTTGCATGTGTGGCATGTGCTGCAAGCTGCAGACTGTGGCTGAGGCTGCCATGGCGACCAGCAACAAACTCTCTAGACTTTGAGAGTCAGGCCACGACTGTGGAGACAACACAATAAGTGTCCGAAAGTACGAAGCCAAATCAGAGCTGTGGGGCAGATAATTTGCATTGCATGGAGCATGGAGCATGGAACATGGAGCGGGTGGCTTAAGTGGCAGCTTGGATGGGGTGCACTTTGCATGTGACATGTGCGATACAGTGTCCACCCACTGGGGAGCATTGCCTTTGCCAAAGTTTTGCCTTTATTTTGTATCTATCGAAATGGCCAGCCGCCACAGCTCTCCGCTTCTAATTCTGCTTCACGTTTGTTGTTTTGTAGCTTTTCTTTATTGTCAATATGTTTTCATTTTACGACTCTTTTTCATGGGTTTCTGCTGCCAATCTCCGGACTCCCCGGGGAAGACCTGTGCACCTGTGCACCTGTGCAGCTGTCCGTATCCGTATCCGCATCCGCATCCGTATGCGTATGCGTATGCATATCCGTAATGCAATTTTGCATTAATTAATATAAGTTGTCTGTGGCACGGACTGTGGCACGGACCCTGGTCCATGGTCTCGTATGCCTGCGGGCACTAAAATGTTTTGTGATGGCTCATCTGCCATCTGTGGATGCTGCTGCCGATGCTCCGGCCAGTTCCAGTTTCAGTTTTCGAGTGGCGTCTCTTTCCCGAGTGGCTCGTACGGAATTAATTTTGAGGCAGCGTGTCGGATTTATGATGCCTCTTCTGCCTGCGTTGCAGTGCTGCAGCCATGACTAGAGCTTATTGGAGCTGCCTCTTGGCCTTTGGTTGCAGATAGTTCCGGCCTGGATAAATCCTTTCAAAAAGGTGGACATTTTATCTGTCACTTACGCATATTATAATACCCTTTTTGCAAGCACAAAATAAGGAATAGCCGCAATGCCTTTGGAGATCTATAGAGTTTCCTTTCCACTTTCAGTCGGATCTTTCTTTGAAGCGGAGAAAGAGAAAGGCATCTCTGTCCAATGGGATGTTTCTCTGAACTGTAGAGACCATATAAATAGGTCCTTCATAAGTGAAAACCTCTTATACAAATCGATATACTACTATTTCGGGAATGATCGCTCTCCCAAGCTACAAGGCACCATAGGACTGCCATCTCTAGCTGGGGATCGTCTATCCATCCATTTCTGCCTATCAGACTCTCGAAAGAGCGGGGCCGACTGGCTCTTCCAGCACTACTGAGCCCTGACAAGAGAGCGCCTTCCTGGAAGTGCCTTACGCTGCTTGCGAAATTATACAAGGCGGTCCGCTAACTCCCGTTCGGGTCTTATTTTACGGTCAGCACTACTGAGAACACTTTGATGACGTGTTTGATGCAAGAGAGAAGCAAAGGCCCCGAAAAGAGAGCCGCCTTGTGGAAATACACGAGGCTTGTAAGACAATCAGTTTGGAAATGATCATTCCGGAAGTCCCAAGTCTATCCCTCACGTAGCCAACCATCCTGCAACACCACGAGGGCCCCGAAATCAATCTATTTCTTTTTTTCTTTAGTCGCTTTATTCGCTATTAAAATGCGTAACTTTTAACTTTAAAATTTGCTGCATGGCCCACACATTCTTGCTTTTGCTGTTCATCTATGCTGGTCCCACGTCGGGCATCAGTTCTAGGCCCACCAGCTTCTTGGCCAAAAGCACACCCGTAAAGAAGAAGGCAAAGCTCTTGCCCAGCGTCCACTGGAACTCGTTGTGGTATATACCACGAGCAAAACACAGGAGATTTGCTGTGTTCAACATTTTGATAGAATGTTTTTAGTTTTTCTACTGGAGTTTCGATACGTTTTACGCGAGGCGAATGGTGAATGAAAATTCCAGGTCTATTTCGATGAGATGGGAAACAAATAAGTCATGGAGTAGAGTGTTCAACAGTTCTCATAGGAGCCAATGTCCTGGCGGCCATCTGCTTCTTTGAAGTGCCTTTGCTGTCCCCAAATCCGAGTCTAAGTAGCCACAAAAGCAAATTGAATTGCCAATAATATAATTAAAGTGCGGTTACCATGACAAAAAAAAGATACAAAAAACTAACAGCAAACTAGAGACAGAGACAGGGCTACCCCCTCCACTTCCGCGGCTGCAATTGAGATTTTTTTTTAACCATTTCCCAATGCAATATTTTCTCACGCAAATGTGCGAGCATTTTCTTCAGGGTTTTAGGGGGCGGAGGAGGAGGAGGAGGAGGAAGTGCCTCGCCTAAATGAACTTGTCATCGACTCGGAGGACGCCGCACCCCGAGTGCGATTTCAATTACAATATAAACAGGGGGATAGAGGGGGCAGAGAGTGCAGAATGTTGAAAATGCAATTAGGCGGCCGCTAAAACAAATAAACGCCGAAACAAAAGTTTTGAGAATGATTTCTGATGGCAGGAGGGGAGACGAGCAACCGACCGGGAGGTGCATCGCCAGGAGCAGAGAGTGCCGGATTCCTGTCGCTGGACCAGTTTGCCAGTTGTCAGTTGGTTTATGGCCAAAAACACATTAAGCGAACCGCATAAAAACATTTTAGCCGCCGCCGGGTGCTCCCGCCGTCATCATCGACTCGAATTTCTGGCTCATTTGGGGCCAGCATTCGCTGAAGCGTTCCAAAAATGTGCGTGCCACCCGTGGGCCGTGGCAGGGAGAGACAGATACAGATACAGATACAATTGCCGGCTAACAGATACCAGATACCAGATACCGATCAGGCCATATTTGCCAAACACTTTTGCATGTATTTTGCATAAAATTTGCAAATGATTTGTTGAGCGCTTCTTATTTTGTGCAATTTTGATGCGATTTTCAGTCGGAGATAGAGAGAGAGAGAGAGGATGTGGCATGCAGCACACAGGTGCCGCCAGACATGGGGCATCATCCTCCAGGTCTGGGGCTAATACACGCACACCGGTGGCCGGGGCGGGGCGGGGGCCGCCCCGGAGCCATACATTTCACGCTTTTTTGACATTTCCGGCGCATAATTTGATTAGATTTTGATGCGACGAGCAAATTGTTTTGGTCTGTGGAGGCAACAGGATGCGGCAGGATGGGGACCCGGGCTGGTGGATTGTTTTCTAATTTGATTTGATTTGATTTGAGCGGGGGGCTCCAGCCCGGTCCTGCCCAGGGTTTTGTGGCTCTCTCTCGAATGCAATTAAATGCAAATTTATTGCGTAAATATTTACTTGAGCGTGAATGAATTTTAATTTTGTCATCGGTTGCCATTTCCATTATCATGTTTGGTTGTTTTGGCCATCATCTCATCAGCGACTCGCTGCCGAGTGCCGTGCCTGAGGTCCCCACTCTCCTGGCTCTGTCCACGCGCGACTCCGAACAAAAACTCGGCGCCTTTGGCCATTTATGGAGCACAAGTCGCCGCCATATAAACCATACACTCTCTGCATCGATCAGACAGGCCCCGGACATTATCCCCATTCGGGCTTT